ACCTGACCATCACCGCCTTCTGCAAGACTGATAAGGTTACGAGACGATTCAACCGCAGCTATCGAAATAATGCCTAATATGACCCCCACCCCCACCTCCACCACCACCATCACCACCGCATTTGGGACCAATGAGCACATATTTGAGCGTGATCCGCAATGGTAGAGTGGGTTTCTGATTTCTAGACTCACAGCATGGCTTCAAATATCAGTATTCAAACTACTCAAGCTACACACGAGATTCATGAATGAAATGGATCTCGCTGAAAATTTGGGCGTCGCGCTCATGATTTGTGAATAACGTAACTTGTCCTACGGCAATCAGTCGATCCGAACGGGTAGTTATTCCACAGTTAGAACAGCAATTACCAATTGTGCATAGACAATAGTCCAGTCCTCACCCTCAAAGTCAAATGACCAATCCACACGTTTTGAACTAAAGGTCAAATCAATTTCACTCGTTTTAACCACCCATCGAATAATCACTAACACACACACATGCATGCTCAAATCACCACTTGAGAAAGGCCTTCCAACGCCTTGTGTTTGGGTTTTTCCGTCTTGGCTAATTTCAAGCTAATTTCCTCAATACTCACTCTACTTTCTTCTCAACTGGAAACGAACTCTAATGGACTGTAGACAAACCTACGACAACTTGTATGATCAATTCCCGCGACAAACGACAGATATCGCATAAGCTAGCCAGTCCACATGAAGAATTATCGTATAAGTTTCTTACGCATCAAGAAAAAAGATCTTTTTTCTATGCTCCGTAAAACATCGGAAAAGAAATTGGATACGAATTGGGTTTACCTATCGCAACTGTTGTAGTAACATGCCAGTGCTTGGCACAGGAGTAAAAGTCGAATATGAGCTGTCCCCGCCTCTGCATGAAGGAGGACAGTGTGCTTTCGATCCATGGCCAGCCAATCATAGACACGCTCACAAAACGCGATGAATGTAGCCAAATCCGGAAAGCCGTCCAAATTGAAGGGACAATTTGTAATCTGAATAACAAGCGACGGAGTAAACGGCACAATATAATATAATCTTGGGGTACAAAATATCATTGAACAAAGAGAATACACGGAGATAAATTTTCAGTCTTAAACACATTATTTTGCGCGTAACCATCTTTGATTTTCATAATGTATTGAATATCAAACTTTGGGGTTTCCTAATTGAAATGCGTACTAGTTTCATGTATTTATCCATTGCCAGTCCGGATCGTTCAGGGATATGCAACTGACTATGTAGATAATGTTTGTGAACTCTAGTAGTACAAAATTGTCAGTGTTGCGCAAACACATGATGAATGTGTGTCGTGAACTACTGTGCTATACTTTTCTATGAACGACCGGACTGTTTATTGATTCATTCAGACATCCTGGTGCACGCTGGATAAAACTGATGAATTTTGAGGTTTGCTTGATTGCCCCTTCAATAAAACTCGTATATCTGTCATTAGCCTCTTGATCGAAGTGACATTCCTAATTCTGTAGTCTACAGTCTTTAGTGAATAAACTTTATAAAAAGGTTGAAAATCTGAATGCTTAAATCAGATTAGCATTTGAATAGCAAATATCATTGGAAGGAATAGTCGATTCAGTGAATGCATGGTACAGTTTTCCCTGACGGATGTTTTGAATTGCAAGAAAATTGCAAAACGCAGTTACACTTCAGGTGTTGGACTGCCCTAAAACTAAAACACGCATAGAACACTGATTCGTGCAAAAGAGGTGGAACATAACACGCTATGAAAACTAGCACAGAATCTCAATGGAGCCAACTTTGAGGAGAAGGCGGAGAAAGGTTGGGCAAAGTTAATCACTGGACAGAAACGTATTTTTATTTTGTTGTGTACATGTACGGTTATCGGTTAACACTTGATGGGTACTGGATGTGTATTTGGTTTGTGAAAATGCTTTCAAACCGCAAGAAAATAGAATTATTCCCAAGAAAATAAGTTAGATTTATCTCTTGATATATATATATATATATTGGGTATCAGCAAACACTGTTCTAACTTTTCAGATGTATATGGGTTTAATCTGACGATGAATCATGTTTCTTTTTTGAGACAAAATGAAATGAGTCATTCTGGGCAATCGTTCCCACACAACAATGACTATTGCTTCTCCAAAACTGGCGGATGAAAGAGAAAATTTGTGTATATATGAAAGTGTTTGTTTTGATGACAATAGTTGGTGCCGGGTAAAACACAGCCTCGATAAACCGATGACTTTCGTTTCCACGCATATCAACGGCTTGTTTGTGCAAAACTATGTGTGTTAATCGAATAAAACAGGGAAGAAAATAAAAACTGAAACCAATGAAGCAAAAAATCCCCACGAAATAAAAGATGACTCTTGACTCAGGTAATATGTATCATTCTACAGCAGCAATTCATATCTGGTGTATATCATGGGAGTGCATTGAACGGTAAACCGAATTCAATCATATCTCGAACTTACATTGTCAAAAATGGTCGCCAGCTGGGTGTTGAACTCTCCACAATTAATGACCTATTCGTGGATGAGAAAAGCATAGATTACATGGTTTCCACAAAAAGTATTTCAAAGGTCAGATAAATTAAAATTCTCACAATGTCAAAAATTACTCATGCAACATTCTTTTGTTCCAATAAGGTTTACTATTACACAGCTGGCTACCTCAATATGACTTGAGACTTACAAAGAATGCCTCTGTTTGGGAGCAGGAATCAACTTTTCATCTAAACGGAGTGCTTTCCGAGGTTGGAGGCAAGCAATTCATTTGTTCTCACATTAAGACTACATAATAAGAAGACGGATATACACGAAGCATGAATAGAAGATTCTGTAAAACCGTTTGAGCTGAAGATTTCAATTGTTTTCTCCGAAGTTAGTTGATTAATTCTCATCCAGCCGCAACCCCATCATTGATTCCCTCCTTTATTAGCCAATGCTTGTTGCATAAGGGAAAGTTGAGAAAAAAGTGATTTTCGGAGTTCAAATTCTGAGCGGAAACTGCCGACGAATCCCACCATGGGGGAAACCACATGTCTAGCACCTTTTATTGGTCATGACAGTAATTCAATCGAAAAAAATCAACATTATGCATTCTGCCTATCGATGAAAGCCAAATTAAGGAACGAGGTGAACATCAATCAACTATGATATGATGTTCGCAATGATTAATTGGGTTCCCTGAGGCATAATCCATTTTGATTTACCATTCGTCATAGCAGCCACCAGCGCATACACTTAAATGAAATCATTACAAGCAGTTGACCTTGTATCAAAATAGTTCTGAAGAATTCTGACTGTTGTTTTATAGCCTAATGATGAGAGAACAAGTTACTTACATTGGTGATGCCTAACAAAGCTTATCAATAACAATTTATTGCGTGCTTACATCTCATGTGAATCACTTGGGTACGTGACGTATTGTTTGTTATACCTTAAAGATCTGTTGTTATCGACTGGCCACCGAGGGACCATTCTCCTAGGACTCCGCAAATCTTGTCTGCCCTATCGTAACGTATCACAACACTCACAATTCCGTGATTCACCGTTTCATCAGCCTCATATCGTCTCGGTTCACCGAGAGTTCGTTCCGGCAGACATTCAATCGAGTAATCGATGCGTCTTTGCTGCCCTATGCTATCCTGCAGTACATGATCAATAGATGCATAAGTGTATTGGTACAG